GAGAGAATCACTTTCTTGCCCCCTCCGCTGGTTGCCATGAGCCTGCATCCTGTGGTCTCGTCCAGCTCTGTCTTTCCCCACCGTCTGTCTTGCTCGTCACTCATTTGACTTCGCTCACAAAAGCTGCAAATCGCAAATAGAACGAACCAACGACGGACAAATAACGCATAGCTCCGAGGAATGAACGGGAGATCCGAAATCCTCGAGGGAAGAGGGAAACGAACTGCTGCCGGGAGGTTGTGCGACGGTCGGGAGGAAGGAATCGGCAATGATTTCTTTGCATCATTCGTAATAATCACCAGATGATGAACGGAAACGGATGTGGTGAACGGAGAGAAGGAGGAGACCGGCGACGACGAACACCAAGGTCGTCTTTTGTGCCTTCGGGGAAACTTCCACCGCCGCAGCTCTCACGCCGAACGCGCGCTGCCCGCGGGTCCCGCCAGTGCGATTCTTGCATAGTCCCTGTCTCGCCCACGTTCCGGGGTCGACGTTCGTTGCTTTCAACAATGGGAACTTCTTTTTCGTCGTTTCTGCTATTCTCTCGTATTCCTCGAGGGCGTTTGAATGTTTGCGAGTAATCTCAAAACGAATTAAAGAAAAGCGGCTTGCCTGTCCCCAGGTCTCCCGTTCGTCTTCCCGATCCTGACCTCCGTCGTGCCGCTCCCTGGCGGCTGCCGAGCCCTCCCGTTGTTTGTAGAAGTTGGCGGCAGAGCGAGCGAGCAAGCGGGCGGCGGGCGGGCAACCTGCCACCGAGGAGGGCACGGAGCGGTCTGAAGAAACAGTGGAAGAAGAATGGAGAAGGCCGGGAAGGACGACCGAGAAATTCAGGACGAAGCGGCGGCTCGCGGGGACGACATCAGTGCTCCCTTGGGGGACCTCATTGCATGAAAAGCCGGAACAACGAAGCCGTGTTATTGCTCCCGCCAGCGCTAGTAGATCGGGTGTTGGCTTGGTCAACCAACGACTGCAAGCCTCTCGAATGGCGGGCAAGCCCCTCCCCAAGCAAGCGACAAACAAAGCCAGTACACGAGGAAGCGAGCAATGCGAGGGGGCGGATCGCGAGCAGCGGCAAACCTCTTAGAACTTCAGAATTCGGATTAGACGGAGCATGGGATCTTCTTTCTTCGTGTTCTCCTTGACACGATCCTCGAAGGAGCATTTGAGAATGTTTTTGCGTGGACCGAGGACCGACTCGGGCTTAGAATGCTCGTCTCCTCCGGGATGGTTTGAGGCCTTCAGGATCATTGTCGAATTTCTGAGTTCCCCACTTCACGGGCTGGAGAGCACAAACTCATTGCCTCATCTCGACGCTCGCCTCCTCTCATCGGTTGGATCCGAGGTCGAGTTGAACTCTTCGCCGATCAGGTCGCTTCGCACTGTATCGAGTTCGTGAGGTAATCAACTTCAAAAAGAGAGGAAGAGGAAGACACACAGAAAAATGTCGAAAAAGCGGATTAGATCGGCTCCCTCTTGGACAGGAAATGAAGCCTGCTTCGCGGAACAGTTCAGCTGAAAGCTGATTCGAAAATTCGGATATGGTCTCTGAACGAAAAGACTTTCTCCGAAAGGTCTGAGGGAGGACTGGTCAACGGGGAGCAACGAGAGCGATTTTGGAGCATTCCGACTGAGAAACACTTGGGTTTGAGGCATTCGATCGGGGATCGATTTCGGGAGCATGTGACGAGGGGTCTCGGGCCTGGAAGATTCTCCCTGTCGCTGTTCACGAGAAACTACGCGAAAAATTCGCGCTCTCGCCGGCGGTTCTCGATCCGGGATCCGACTTCCTTTAGAAGGTCACGACCATCAGGACCATGGGCGGTGGGATTTCGTTCGACCAGTCGTTTGGGTCACGACCGGGGTGACCGACGAAAAACGATCGGACCCTCTGCCTGCAAGGGACTCCCGGCAGGCGCGTTCTGGCCTGACCACGGAGTTTCGAGCCCGATTCATGATTCATAATAATCCCTTCGGGAGCAAACATCGGGCGGGACGATGCGGACTGATATCTCGAAGGCCATCACAGAATTTCATGGAATGGAGGAGACAAGAGATCTTTCTTGACATCCGTTCTGAAATATGAGAGGAAACAGTCGCAGCGGATTGTTCCAGCCTGAGCATCGGCGGAAAACTGGAGCTCTCCAGGACATTCGAAACTGGATGTTTGATTCGAGACGCGGGTTTCACGTCCCGTGTGTTGCTCGTGCTCTTCTCAGGTTACGAGGATGTCTTGCCGAGAAAGATATGTTTGTATGTTTCTCCCCCCCCCATGCATCTCCGAATCTCGGAGCTCCGAGAAAACAGTAAGCCAAGCGATGGGAGAGCGTGAAACTAATCGATCTCGATTATAAAAAGTCGGAGCGATATCCCCCGAGAACAACTCGAGCTCAGCCCGCATTTTTAATTCGACCGATGCACGATCGACGGCGAAAAACGCATTGAAAAGTGAGTTTTTTTTCCAGGGCCGACCGGGCGCTGGGCTACGTGGGTGAGGGGCGAAGGTGAACGGTAAACCCGAGTGAACGTGAAACAACCGAATAGTTCGGTAGGAAGGACCGCGGCCGTACCTTCGGTCAGACGTTCGGTGGAGATGAGGTTGGCCATAAGTACGTCGACCGACGCGAACGAAAACGACCGGAGGACATCAACTCTTAGAGGGCAGAGCAGCCGACGAGTTAACAGGAAGCGGCTTTCGTAGGGAAAGGATTTGCTCGGACAGGAGAAGGGTACTTCGCCGCCGACGACGGCGACGGCGACCTCCACTACCTTCTCCAATGGCAATGCCATGGAGTACGCCGGCCATCGTGTGCGCCAGTGTGTTCCTGGATGGGTGCGTATGCTCGCTCCTCCGTTGCTTGGTTGGTGTTTGCGCAGTAAATCACCCGCAATGCTTGAGAAGAGGCAGCCAGCCAGGCACGAGAACCTGGACGACCCACCGAGCGGCGGAGCAGGCAGGCGAACGGACGAGCGAGTTGAGGAGAACGTCGGCCGGCTCGCAAGCCAACCGAGCTCGCTGGACAGTCAGGTCGGTATGAGGGAGGATGAGTTACGGTCAGCGCGCCGCCAACCCTTCAGAAGAGGCCAAGCAGTGAACTCATGATCCTCGGCGCCTCACGAGCCACGGAGGATACCGCCGCTCCCCTGAGGACTCGTCCCACCGACTGCCAGGAGCACCGTGACCTTGATTGTGGAAATCTGCAATTCGAACACATTTTTTCCCCTCACGAAGGTCGCAGGATGGAAACAACGGCTCAGCTTATTCATGAGATATGGCTCCCTGGCAGGAAACGGATTACTTCCTTTATTTCGTTCCCCGATCCCTCTCCCTTTCTTCTAACAGTTCTAGTTGATCCAGAGAATTACCGTTCTCCATTTAAAAAAAAGGCAGGTTGTTAGAGATCTCGAGTGGGCGCCGGGAAGCTCAGCGCCAATATTCCCCGGGACGCCGCGCTACTCAGCGCAGTTGGCGACAATCCCGTAAAGGAAAGGAGGAACCGTAAAAAGATGTACCTGGGTTGGCGGGAGGTGACGTGAAGGGTGACCGGTTGAAGTTTCAGAGCCTCAAATCGAAGCCGAGATGAGCATTATCGCAACTTCTGGCCCAAAGAACCTCCCGGGGCTGTGACTGGGATCGCGCACGCTGGAAGACACAATTACTGCTTGGGCACGGAGGCCGCCAATGCGAGGTCGGTCCCGTTTAGGCAGTTGTCTCTCAGTTTCTCTCCATCGCTCGCAGAAGTCGTTCTGTCTCTTTTGCTCTCTCGAGGAGAGCTTCTCCCTGTGTATGCCCGGGGTTGTTTGGCCAGGTTATTACGAATGCTCTCCGTTCGGCCCCTGACCAATCCCTGTTCAGCACTGGCTGACAGTGGGTAACAACTAAGATAATAAATAAACTCTTAAATAGGCCTGCAGTCGCTCGAGAGCCCCGGGGCTGTAGACCATCGAGGGACATCGAGACAACAAACAGCAGAAGTAGGAGGAGAACGACATACCAATGCGACCCTCTACCGACATCTACTGAGCCCAGCTCCGCCTGGAATGACACACTGACCACGCTACCGACCCCTTTCTTCCTAAGCGCGTTAGACCCCAAAGCGAGACGGCAACGTCTCCCTGTGAATCTCTGAGCTGACTCCCAGATTCTCCGGGACCTGGCCTCCCATCATTTGGCATCCACAGAACTTTCAGCTCCAAGCTTTATAAACAGCTCAGCTGCCTGCCGAATAACCTGTTCGGTGGATTTTCCAATCGATATAGCTCTGATGCAAGATAATGGAGACAGGAGCAAAAGCTGCTCGCTGCCGCTACGCCCCTGTTGGTCCTGGCGCTCCAACATCGGTGACGAACGTTCCGCGTCCCTCCCGAGCGCCGGAAGCCGCCGATCGCCTGTTTGTATCGAGTCACTATATCCTCAGAACTCCACATTAGCAAGACGAATAGCTTCACGGCTCCCATTCTGGTTCCAAAGTCGACCGAGTTCGGCATGTTCGATTCAGTTTACTCGCCTTCTCCAACGTCCCAATGTATGGTTTCTGTGTTCAATCGGTGGCCACAAAGCACGAACTCGGAATATGGGCTGATGGGTTTCAGGGTGAGGTTCTTCGTGCATATCCTTCGTGGGCGGCAAAGTTGGGAACTTCTCCGGTGTTACTGAGTGAGAATTTCATCCGATGAAACCTCCGATTTTTCCCGCCATCACAGGCGGAACCAGCGCTGGAACCAGCCCTTATTCGACGTCGATTCTGTTCTTTGCTGGATGCTGATCGACTCAATCGACTCGAGCGACTCCGACGACAAGTCGAGGGAATAATTTTCTGCGAATTGAACGGAAGGTCATCCTACGAATGATTCATGTCAAAGACTCCCTACGAGCAATGACGAGGACCAGCGGATCTGGCTGCTTGGTCAAGAATAAAGCAGCGTACAGATAATAGATGAAGATCGCCGGCCTATCCCAGGCAGGTCTCATCCGTGTTCTCCGTGCTTTGATTTCTACTCACCGTCAATCTTAGACCACTTCGGTGACACGTAGGATTCGATATTGGTATGTTGCGTCACGGGGCGCTGGAGCTCCTCGTGAAACTTGGGCTGCGTCGCGTCGCTCGGCAACATCACCTTTCGTTTCCTAGGTAATTCGACGCGTTTCTTTCCACTGAAACCCGGATCGGATAGGGGTGAATATCCTCCTCGGAGATTTCAGCGTCGAGACCCGTGAATCCAACATCACCATGCTCGAACACGGTTCGATCGAACGCTTCCCGTCTCATGAACTCGGATTCCTCCGAAGTATACTCCTCGCAGCGAAACCCACCTGAAAGCTCCGGCGTTCTTACTCAAGAATGGGTGATTGGTTATGTCGCTATAGCCTTTCGATCCCAGTCTCGCTTCGGGGTCTTTCGCGAGTAAGCTCGTCAGGAAGCTCCTCAATTTGGCGGAGAATCTCTTCTCTGATCTCGGTATCCATTGTGGCTTTGTGGGAAAGGACGTATTTCGCTTAGGCCCCAAAGCGCTGCAAGTGGATCCTTTCAGCGTACCGATTCAGGTTTGTTTCAAAAACAGGAATACCTCCTTCTCGGTGATAGCCTCGTTCAGCTCGTCCAAGCGTTTCGATCGGAAGGGTAATCTCCCACAAATCAGACGGAACAACGTGACTCCCATCGACCAGAAATCGCAGGCTCTACCGAAGTAACGTCCATGCACGAGTTCGGGAGCTCGGTAGAACTTCGAGGAGCAACGGACTTTGGGCCCGAAGAACTCGAAGGCAGTTCGGCTATAGAAGCTCCTGTTTTGACTCGTCGGTCGAACGAAATTCCCAAGGCATGTTCTGGCGTGTTCAACGTTGACGAACTAAGAAGAAAGAAATTTCAGCTTAGTTCACCCTCTTCAATGGAATCACAATCAGTTGCGGCGATTTAAGAGGCTTGCTGGCGATCCTGAGGTCGGACAGGTCAGCTGTCGAGCCCGCTAATTTACCTTGATGCAATCATTCCTCCAAACGAGCGTATCGGGCCTGATGTCAAGATGAATAATGCCAAGAGCGTGGAGCTTCCGGAGAGAGTCGGCGAGCTTGTTCGCAAGGTACGCCACGTAAGATTCCCGGAAGGGTCGCGAGTCGAACAATTCCCTCAGATTGAGCCCGTATGGACCCTCCTGATTCGTTAAGAGTTCCTTTTGAGAATTTCACAACAATCATAATACAGACCTTTGCGAGATGGAATGCTCACCCTCTCCCGAGGCGCCCACCTGAACGAAGACATGCGCTTTTTCGGTGCGGAAGAAAAGCAAATATTCCAAACTTATATCTGGCGTAAGAACAACCGCAATAGCTTTTTCCAAGCATAATCCGGGGCTCTTCTTTCTCAATCTCAGAGTCAGCTTCCTCTTGCATTCACCGTAAGTGACCGCGTAAACGTTGCTCATTGTAGCCATGCTGCCCATAGGCTGCACAGAGTCGAACTGAGACAGAGCGGGCAGAGCTTTTTTGTAATCCTCAGACGGTTCAACCGACATTTTGTTTCCACAACAGTACATTGTCTCGATCTGATCAGGGAGTACTTCCGGATGAGCATGGGATTGAGGAGTTGGAACCCCCCAAGATTCAGAACAGATGAGATGATTTCAGAATGGGGCAGATAGCTGATGGAAACGCTGATTTTCATAATTCTGCAGGGTCATACCCTGTTGAGCATTCTCATCTGAACTTCATTCCAAGCGATCGCTTTCCTTGCTCCACCTTTGATTCCGTTCGCTACTTCACCCACGGCGTCGACGTAATGCTCAACTTCCACGCGCAGTCCCGAGAACACAGGGGTCGCGCCCTGGCGTTTGGCTATCAGTGCAAGACACCCATTGATATTCATTATGTATTCGACGATAGTGCCGAAAGAAATCGCCCGATTCTATAATGGAAATCCTCTCCAGCCAGATTCGTCGATGACCTTCCCACATCTGACTCCGATTCTACGGTCGACGAGCACGCACCATAAGCCTTGAGCCGGTCTCGTAAGCAGTGTGCTTCAATTGACGATTACCGAAAATCCGAAGAGGAGTCCACTCACATCGCGTTCGCGCCAGCTTCTGGCAGAGAATTTCCATCTGATCAAAACACATGCGGAAGACTCGCTCGTCGTACCATTTGCTTTCATAAGAATCGATTTCGGAATCAAGACCAAAGTCCCGTGGATGAAAATTGAGCTTCCGCAGGCTGTTACTAGCTTCAGCCGGCGTCTCGGACATGCTAACTTCGTTTCCCGTCCGACGTGTATACTGTTATACTGCTCCATTGGCCATCCCAGATGCGAATGTCCAAATCGGTCTGAAGTTCCTTACCTGCGCAGATCATGTTTGAAGTCATGAGTCCTGTTTCTGTCATGGAGCAGGCTTCACGCTTCCCTGATCCTCTTTTGCCATCTTTAATCTTCGAAAGCCCATCGGGCGGCATCCGAATTTCCAGCACCTAGGTAGCACCTGTCTCTGACTATACAAAGCGTGGAATCTCCTCGCCAGGATTCTATTTCGCTCCCGGGCTCGTGTCCAAGGGTTGGGGGTCGCCGTACACCGTCGCTGCTGGAATGTTTCTGGTCGATGTCAATCTGATCCTCGCGTCTCATCATCGCGCCAAGCTCATCTGCGGACAGCGCTGCTGACGCGGCGGAGGTCGCTCGGCGGAGCGAGGCTCAAAGCGCGGGTTCTCACGGGTGCGAGTGTTGCGCGACAAGGCATAAACAAGAAGAACGGCGAGGTGCGAAGCTTTGAAGTTGGTGTCGATCTTAAGTCCATGATCTTATATCCGCTCCAAGAGCTCTCCATGTGATCTATTCTGCCATGTATTCCGGACCTATCGAGCTTCGACCTTCGACGACAAGGAAAAGGGACTCCCCCATGTTCTACGGTCGCACAATCCTGATTACGACTCTACGACGAGTCAGGGCTCCTCTCGTTGGTCAGCTCCTCCCGTTTCGGAAATTCCCGCCGCCAGATCCGCACCATTGCTCGATTCTATGCCGTGCTGGCCCTCGCCTATATTCCTTATCTCTGCTCACCTATGACTCCGAATGAGGAACTTCACAATCGTACGCTGGCAGAAGCTATGTATTTCTGCAGCTCGATGGAGCGAGCTCCATGAGTATTCCTGGGGACTTCGAAGCTCACGTAGAAATCCTCTCCCCATGAGGTCTCTGCATTGAATACCTGGATGGAGTTTCGCGCAAGAGGTTGCCTAATCGAGCCCGGCAGCCTCCAGCAGGGAGCGAGGCAAGTTTTCCCTCCGAGCAAGGGCAACGGAAGATTCCTCGCTCAGGCTATAAGCCAGTCGAAAGCTGGGATCCAGCCGCTCCGGCTCCACCAGTGGCACTCTGCAACGGCGCCAAAATGCTCACCTGCCAGCGGAGAGCGGCCCGACTGTGATGACGAATTTCGTAAAATAAATTCATCGCTCCGATGGTATCAGTCAAGCTGATCAGCTGATGTGATACAAGGGAAGGAGAATATCTTTTTCATTCGCCAATCGAAGATAGATGGCTTAGAAACAGAGAATTATCATGGCATACATGCGTATGAACAATATCATGGGATGATAAGCCATGTTGGCAGGACTCCAGGTCATCCAGGATTCAGGATGCGGCAGCGGCCTCATCAAGCCTATGAGCGGCAAATCCATGAGTGACTCCGCCTCTGCCGTAATTACGGTCGGAGGGAGCAAGAGAGAAATTCTCGTTCGACATGCAGATTCATCACTGCTGACCAAATATTCGCTCGAGATGTAAACTGACTGTTAGCGGCACACCCGCGACCGGTGATCCTCCTTCCAGAATCTCCCTGCTAGCGCTCCCGGACGGATTCCACCTGTCTCCTAGATCTCATTGCGGAAGATCGCCTAATCGAGAAGGGATCGACTCCTCCATATAAGAGTAGGGTGAGCTCGGCGATCGACTTCACGGAAGATCGACTCCAGCAAATACTGTCCGAGAGGGCCGTCGACCGCGGCGGAAACTTAGGAAGAATCGGAGAGTTTTCTTTTTCTGACTTCATTTTGACGTTTTGTTTCCCTTTACCAATTCCAGATGGCGCCAGCGTATGGGGCCCTTTCCGGTGATCGGTTCGGACAGCGCGAAGCACGAACTCACTTCAGAAAGGTGATTCCGCTCGCAGTATTCGCGCGATTAAAATAGCGCCTACGTTCTTTAGTGACTCTAAATGACGTGAAACGGGCCTCTTGGAGTCCAAACAAACTCTCGTGTGTCACAATGTCGGGCAACTGTAAGTGCATAACCTGACGGATCGGATCGCAAAACTTATCCTCGGTACGTAGTCGAAGTTCGGGCATCGTGTCCACGGGAAACTTTCGGGGGAAGCGGGACGGGAGCCTCCCTGAAGAGACCTGAGCGCGTTACTGCTCGTGGGGACGCCTTCCGATCGAGGAAGGAGTCCTCGAGTCTCTCCGCCGTCGGCGTCGGAGAATTCGCTGTCGGTGTAGCGGAGCGCTTCTCGGCCATATATTCAAAACAAAGGAAAAATCATGAGACGTCGTAGGTCTCATCGATGAGTGCTCACGATCGATCGACGAATCTTTGCTGGAGCAAAACGAGAGCGGCCGTCGGGAGAGCCGCAAACGAATGAACACAAGTGTGTCGCGCTTTCATCGGAATGTCCTCTTCTTCTTCTCAACGGCTGGTCGAACAATGGACAGCGAAATTTTCACCGACTAAAGAGATCGATGGAAGAGCTCGCGTTATGATGGAGCTCGAGATGCCGAAAGCGAGATTTTCCACTCGGAGAGAAATTCGGGGTCTGTGGAAGCTTTCAGGCTTCGCGTAAAAATTCCAAGAGCTGATCCCACTCGATTAGTAAATCGAGGCTTGAGGACGGGGAGCAGGTCATTCTGCCGGAGAACAATCGATCGATCGATCAATCAATCAATTATTCGATCAGTTCCATGTTGCCGGAGTCGCTCTCCGCTCCTTTTGCCCGAGAGCTTCAATTTTTCGCCGCACCCCCAAAATCTGAGCAGTGCCGACCCTCATGGGACAGTTGTCGGATCCACCCTTGTTCTTTCTCATAGCACTCTGTATAATTGACAGAGGTCTCCGTTCGGTACATTTGTCTCTCGCTCTGATGACATCGACGTTGACGCGGTGGATGCAACTTGGTGTCATTGTAATTGTACTCGTGAGAAAATGCGCATCCGGGCCGCATTGAATAAGTCATCATGATCACAGCGAGTTTGCTCAGCGCCGTGCTCAGCAGAGTCGTGTACACCGTGCGGACCACCTCGGGCTCCTGAAGCACCGCAGCCAATGTCCATCGGGAGCAGTTTATTATGTAATCTCATGACCGCGTTACATCTATACATCCTACAAAGGCATCCGGAGGTTATGTTTCCGTGCCGGGCTCGTCATTGTCTAGCAAGCAACTTCCCGTTTCTAGCATAGACTCCACGTATCGGCAACAACGATTCCGCTGGGTTCTCCTCTTGCATTGTCTCGAGCAATGAGAATTGTCTTCGATGAAGGAAATGAGACCATGAGCCTCATGTTCCATCAGTGGAGGAATCATCGTCTGGTCGTGAGTCAAACGCTTCAAGAAAAAAATGGTTCGCTCGTGGTCTCTGTCAACATCCTGCGTTCTGGAAATCCCGCTCAATGCGGTGGTTATTCTGCTCGCTCAACCTTTGTTTCTCCCGGAACGATATTACGAACTGGAATGAAACCCTGGAACGTTGACCCATTCGTATCGAAAAGCCGTTGCGGGAACCGTTCGGGGTCTGTTGAAAACTTGGGAACGGACTGCTCCGGGTTTATCTCGGAGATCCCTCTCGCGTAACAAGTACGGTCCGATACAGGGAGGTTCTACAGATCCGAGCCTCTTCGGAATACCGCTGCTCGAACTTAGAAGTCCGAGAGCGACATTCATCGTAGTCTCTGTTATCATCTAACCGATGCCGCGGCGATAAATGTGATCACTTGACGAAGATCCAGAGAATGTGTCCATCTCCAGAAAGCGGTTATTCTGGAAAATCCCTCTTGGCTCCGGACAACGAACGAGTCTGTTTCGTTATCCGAAGGGCGGCTGTGTACGGCGGTGCCGTCAGACATCACGTAGAGTCCTTTCCATTGCCCTACCGTGAACATTCAGCATGACGAGAGAGAGAGAGAAGGAGACTTCCAGGGATGATGAATGGAGAACGAGGAGTTCCTTCCCGCGAACGGGAATTCCGCTGTCATGTGTCGACGAAGAATCAAGGGTTGGGGATCATGGTATAGCTACTGCATTATCGTGTACAGGGCGAAAGCCCCGACTCTTTTCCTTACTGCTAAGTGCCTAATCACCTAATCGAATTTCCCTTTTCTTCAGAGCCCCCCATCATGTCGTCTCCGATGGATCATCGCTGGTGAGTATCCAACACTCGGATCCTTTGAGAGATCGAATGAGGAAACCGCCGACAGAGTTGCTCGGAGAATAAATCGAGAAGAAAGACCGCAGAGTTGTGACTGAAGAAAACTCGTAACTGGCGCTCGAGCCGAATTGTAGTAGTCTCCGTCGTCTCGGAATACATTCGAATGGCATCAACACCGTGGCGCCAGGTACTTAGCTACCGAACGAATCGTGGCGGAGAAGATAGGATTCCACGAATTTTTTCCTCCGCTGACACAGACGAACATTTGAATTCGTCCCTGAGAGGGCACACTGCGGCGACGTTTCCAATCAAGCGTTCACCATAATACAGCGTCGCCACCCGCAACCCGCATTTCATCCATCGACTACGCATCACGAGTTTCTCCCCATTTACCCATTCTAAATACACGAGAACCGATGCGCTCATTCAAGAACGATTTCTCCGGAGACATCGACCATGGTGGCCGACCGAAAGCTCAATCGTAGCGCTGATCTTTCCTGATGTTTCGTTGGACAAGTCTCAATGCCAAGTACTAGAATTCATTCCATCGATTCGAATCGGAGATTCGAACACGCTTCCATCGAGATGAGGCGACCTACAAGATTGGCAGTCCCTCGCTAGTCGCCAGCTTCGCGTGGATTTCAGCGCGGCAGACACGTGTTTTTCTCACCCAGAGCTAACTCATTGAAAACTTCCCCCTCGCGCAGCGCTTACGGTCGCTCGGTCGTTCGCTGCGCGACTTCTACACGTAATGGCGACGTCAGCAGGGCACCGGTGCTCGTGTTTCAATGGTTCGCGAAACGACGAATGAATACCTCTGATGGTGTTGGATTGAATCAATAGAGCGCTCGCAAATCGTAGCTATTTAAAGCAGGCATCGCGACATCGCAGCTCGATCGCCGGCTGGATCCGCGGCTGAACAGTCTGCGTAGCTTTCACTGGCGGTGATCCAGCTTTTTCTGCGAGGGCATCCGCTCAGCACTTCTGGTAGCTAGATTCCATTTCAACCTCAATCACGACTCATACTGAGCGAAATCATTTGACGGGTGTAATTTGCAGTCACTCATCCATCCACTTTCTCCCGAGAGGCCCACAGCGGCTCGAACGGCTCTGAAAAACCTCCAAACATGCCTGGATAGTTCCACTGTGGGCATGCTTCTTATACCCGCTCATCGGGAATTTTTTCTTTCAAAGCCGACTCGGCTCGTTCTTCGGCCTGCGCGAGAGGAACGATCCTAAATTGACTGACATTTCGTCGGCCATGCCCTTTCCATGCGGTCCCTCAGCTTGTGAATGTCTCACAAATGTAGCGAAGAAGGGAGCTCCGGACAGGAAAGGTGGGAAGGCAACAAGCGCCGGTTTCCGTATATTCGACGCAGCGGAAATTGAGGTGTTTGATCGAAATCGCGATTTTGGGTGTGGTTTCTCGTTTATTTGTTTCGCTTGTGTACTCTGTTCGCGTTTGAAATCTCAATTTCGGTCTTTGGCCTCGCGGATCGGACCGAAAGTCGTCCGAGCTGCAAAGTTAAACAGAACGTAACAGAGCAAATATCTGGCTGTTTCACGGAAACAACGTTTCAGGGTTGATCAGATATATTGTCAGATTCACGTCCGCTCTCACGAGCCCGTGCCCATGCTGGAGGGAACGGGATTTGAATCCTTGTGACGGGTCTAAGTCCCCGAGACAAGGGCTCACCTGATGAAATTATACTTCAGCTGGTTTATAGGCTTTTGCCACCTGCTGTACTAAAGGATTCGAGACTACGGTGACAATGATAGAGGTGGGGATGAAGGGAACACCGCGAAACACGCAATAGCCGGGTCAGACTTCGACGAGAATCGTGAAAGATTCGAAAACTCGAGGTCATGCCGTCGCAGGTTCTTGCGAGGTGTCGACGAGTCACGCTTCCAATGTTTCTCCATCTTCTGATCTCTGCACAACCCCCGTGGAGAAAATAGCCTACGCTCCTCAATTGACTATCACTTCCATTCATTCAACCTTCCGATGGAGAAGATTTTCACACACAATTCGTGAGGTCGAGAATAGTGCGCACGTTCAGGCAACGTCCGTGTCATCTTAGAGTATCGCTTGACTGAGGCTCCTTGATGGCTAGCCGCAATACAGAGTCTTCCTTGGGGACCCTCATTGCCGCTGGCGGTGGGCTCGGAAGTTACGCCCGACGCTCGATTGCCGCTCGTTCCCTGGATCGTCGTCCAGGTGGTTACTTGTGCTGACGAGTAACTACGGGTCGCCCTAATAGTGCTCTGATGGCAGACGGATACAGGACTTCAAAGAGTCCGATTTCAGAACTCGGATATTAGTCTCCGGAGGCGGGCTCTCGACATGGCTCTGCGGTCCCCGTGATCTACAATGAGAGTTCCATGATTTTCAAACAATGACCATAAAGAAGTTCTTTGCTCGAGCTGAGAGCTTGGAATATTCGTCGGGGCGTACACGGCAAGAGAAGTGGAGAGAAGGTAATGGACAGATAAGCGCGACGCGTTTTTCGAACGGAATCCAGAAGAAGCAGCTCTTGAGAAACTCCCCGCCGTGTTTTTTCTTCTCACCATAATAAACGATTTGATGGCAGCGGAGAAGCATTAGGCGCAGAGGTCACTCCGAGAGCGGAGTTCATCGGCATGTGGCATCTGATGCAGATAGTCATGAATTCCGTCGTCGTGTGTTCGCGTCATTCACTACTCACACGAGGCCTTTGGGAGCCCATGCCACTAATTTCCGCTTAAGCAATGTACCGAATGACTCCCCGAGTTGAACAAAAGCTCTCCCGGGAGTGCTCTGACACCTTTGTTTTCATTTTGGACGAGCAGGCCAGGGAAAGAGTACGGGGAACGTGGCTCAGAGCTCCTAGAACAGACTCAGAATTTTTTCGCATCTTGCACTTTGGCTTCTTCAGTGTCCCCCCCCCCCCGTGACTGACTGATGACCGCATACCGTAAACATCAGAGAAGCAGACAGGGATGGATCAGTCCACCGTCAAATATATTGATCGCCTGAAAATCAATTCCTGGTCTGACATTAGCGTAATTCTGCAGCCTTCAGGTCGACACCCAGGCGAGCGATGTAGAGCAGTGGACGACGATCGCGAACACATACGTTCAACCTACCCTGTCCGTCTTCGGGATAATAGGCAACCTTTTCATGCTCCTGACCATACACTACGGACATCTCAACGACTCACCGTATGTGTACTTGAAATGTATAGCGCTGGGCGATCTGATCCTCCTCGTGGTCATCATGGGCCTCTCGGTGGCCCGTTGTGCAATCTGTCAGTTCAGTCTCGAAACCGCCTATTACCTAAAACTCTACGATCGGTGAGCTCCTCATTCGATTATCGGTATTCTGGAATACTCGGGATATCAGGATGCGAAATGGGGAATGATCTTGTAGATGCCATTGTGGTCTCCAGGTACGTTTACCTCGTGGTGTCCAATCTCATGATAGGATGGCTCGTCCTTCTGACGCTCTTCATGACAATGGAAAGGTGAGTGATTTTCGTCGTATTGAGCGCTCTCCCCCGGCGGTGAACGCAGATGGGCCCACAATAATCGAACCGCTGTTTGGTTCGACCTCCGGAAATCGTCGTTGCCTCTGCCGCTCAGCCCGTCGGCACGAACAGCATGCTCGAAGCCAATCGCCCCATCCATGAATTTTCGTTCCCCGCTCCTCCCGCAGATTTGTCTACGTCCGCTGGCCAATGAAAACCCAGAGCCTCTGCACGCGTGAACGCGCGAAGAAGGTTTGCATCGTTCTATTCTTCGTGGCATGTAGCTCTCAGCTCATGCGAGTATGGCAGGTCAGAGTCGCGATCGCCAACAAGGACTTTCCGAAAAAAGGAACAAGGATCGGAATCGTGACCGACTTCCAGTGCATGCCGATGACCGATGAGGTATGCCACCGAACTTCCCCGCGCCTGCTCGCAGGCTGCGGGAACGATTCGCATCGATCGAGTTTGTCTGACCGTTACAGAATTGCTCCGCAGGTCGTCTCCAGCAACCGATTCTCTTGCTTCAATGAGGAATTCCCGCTCAGCTCTCAGAGCAATCTACCGGACGAACGATGTGCCTCCGACGCTGGAGAAGCAGGATTCGATTTCCGACGTGTCCCAAGACTGAACCAGAGTTCATATTCGCTGGATTGCCTGCACCGGCATTGCCGATTACCGCAAGTGCCACGGAACCTAACCTTCAAGACTGATGGAAAGTTGGCGAGCAATTGGGCCATGCTCGGAGCGACGCACATGAAGGCTACGATCATGGTTCTGGTCAGCTTCTTGCCTGGAGAAATCCCGAGAATCTCCTCTAGGAGTCGATCTTGTTCCGAAACCATATTTTGAAGCGATTGAGAAAGACAGGGAGGCTCCATGATTCATTTCAGACAAATGAGAGCGCCAAACTAGCACCTGATGATCTCATCGGACGAGCAGTTCATGTCAACGATACCTGTGAGTCTCGGCTGTCTAGACAGTTTTCCTCTCCTGGCACAACAGACAAACGATCGAGCTTCAATCGCGATTTGTCCGGGACGATAATTACAGCGACTTCGAAAATTTTCAGGTTACTTCGTCGTGGCTCCAACAAGCTTGAACTTGACCCCCGAGGCGATCAGCGGCCTCTTCCTGGAGCCTTTCATGGAACGCGTTCGATGCGTCGAAGCCACGACGATAACTAGTTCGGGTTGGCAGAATCGAGTTCGCAGCATCTATTTGGAGATCTGGGACCGTATCTACATACTTTGTACGGTCGTTCTCACAATTTTCAACATACTCATAGTTTTTGTGGTGAGTTGTTCCCCTTCACGAAGAGTCCTCTTCGTCGCTAAACTCCGCTGTGGGGTGAATAATACCAGGGAGGGTCTTTGCCTCGAATGTTATTGCTACGCTCCCGACCATTCATGGGTCTCTCTTGTACATTTAGCGAAAGATGTGCACGGGAGGAGAGGAGATTAATTAATTACCGCGTCGCTGCCCTCTTCGCCATGGAAATGTGCGTTTCCCGCTCGCTCGATGCGGCTTCCCCGAATGGGTGTGGTTGGCAATCAAGTTCGAGTGATTCTGATCAAATATGTATGATCGTTGCTCTCGACACACTGACGCAGACCATGAAGCGCAACAGGACATGTTGCAACAGGGGACATCGAACAATGTTTCTCATTTCCGTGATCTTCGATCCTTAGATTCTCCCCGTTTGTGCATCGATCCGGACGAATTACAGCCATCTGTCAGAATACAGTTTAGTTTGTTTGCACAGCCCTTCGATCGGTACCAGAGAAGCGATGACTGTTTACGCTTGTTCGGCGGCTTTCGTGGCCGGGTCACGTCCACGAAGCTCATCTGATGACGTTTCCGCTTCTCGACAAGATCCGTAAACAAATATTACCGTTTAGACTGCGCACATGACACATCAGAGTATCCCGCCTCGATTCAATATCATTTCCGGAAGCAGATATTCCACCTCAAGTCGATAAATAAGACGTCTCTACCTCCTCTTCGTTCGTTCTACACTCATGCACGCGATCCTTAAGGATCAGAATAGACAAGGAAAAGTAGGTAATTATTGTTCCCCGGAAAATCAGATACCGGAGCACCTCTCTTCGCGGGAAAGCAGGTAAACGTGTCTTCTACCCCTCGAAATCGTTCCGTCTTACCTCCTCATCTTGCTCCGCAGGTCCATAGAGCGAATCGCAGAGCTCACGACCGAGTTCTCTCGCATAACCAGCAGAATACAGCGAACAAGCGCCGAGCTGAAGAGAATCGCTTGACCATGTCCTTGCTGGCGCTCTCGTGCGTGAAGATATTCTCTGAAATAATGTATATCACAAGCGACCCCGAGTTCGCTTTCCTTTTCTATCAGGACGTCGGTGAGTGACGCTATAAAGTTAACTCCGGGCAAGAGAGGAGGAGAGGATTGTGAGACGGACCCCATCATGAGCGATATGAAATCCGTGAATGACCAACAACGCAATGCTTTCAGATCCTCCAGGCTTTCGTCTGAAGGTCCATGTCATTCTATCGAACGTCGCTGTGATCTTTGAATACTCGTCATACTTCTATTTATTGGCTTTCATCAATCGCAAATTCAAGAGGGAATTCCTACAACAAGTCGTATACGGCAAGCTACTGAGACAGAAATTCTTCGGGAATGTTCTCAACAATTTCTCCTCGAGATCAGCCTCGATGAACAGCGCGAAAGTAAGATCACCAATTGAGCTCTTCAAGACGTAGATCATCGAAGAAATTCACGACTCAAAGACTCATTTCATTCGATTGATGCGGACGTCTGGTTCTCGATAGTATCCTGGACTTACCCTCTACCGTTCTTCCCAATCAGTTGAGGAACTCGACTTCCCAGCAGGATTCCGTGAGGATGAAACCAAAAACCGTCGACGGGAAGGAGAACAAGGCTCACAGCAAAGAGTCGGAAGAAGAATTCGGCGATCGTGTTCTCTGAAGTCAGCGTGGTCAGTGTGATGAATCCTGGAAATGGATTTTGGGAATCACTTGACGACGAAAGCGCCGGAGTCGTCTGATTCCTGTCGAAGCTGGAACGACGTAGTCGTTTCGTTGCGTCGTTCGCAATCAGTGTTCTTGTCATTTCTGCCAAATGTAAGGTCTCTTGATCGCTTCTGATCTCTCGCCGAAAACGTCACATGTTAGATGCAGTCTAACGGGGAAGACCTTATCATATGTGCAGATCGCGCGGAAAGCCCGCGAGAGAGTTTAGAATTCGGGAGCATCAACTCTCCATGCTAATGTGCACTGTCTTCCGCGTCGTCGTGTCCCTCTAGTCGGGTGCGAGCGCACTCGGATTTAGCACTCCCCCTCTCTTATCCTCTGCTGCCGTTCGTCATAGAGAGCGACGCCGGTCTTTCGTCATTATGTATATTCTATGAGGCAGAAAGGGAAAGTACAATCACCTTGAACCATCATCAATCGTCCCGGGAAGAGGAAAATCGGAAGCACCTAAAGCATCGGTTCCTCGATTCTCCTAAGCGAGTAATCCAGAGATTATTAGTCCACGCGCGGAACGGATGAGCTAGTCGCAGAGATATCTTCACAAAGATCTCGGGAAGAAGGCACACTCGGACCAGCTCGCTTGGACTTCCCTCGTGTGCAGGCGACGGCAAGCTCTCTCGGCTCGCGGCACGAAGTCTCACGAGCGGACCAGCCGCGGCGCGAAGTCGTCGACAAATTCCGTTTATCGCGAAATGTTCGAGGCACGGAAGTATAGAGTGCTCTCGAGTTTTATGGGGGATAGACGGAACTTCCCATTCTTCTTCTGCTGCCCGATCTACCGAAGTGGCTCTCGATACCTTCGAAGCTCGTCAGGACTTGCACAGGAAGGGCTCGTTTGCGATCCGAACAAAAAGAGCCCGCTTGTGCTTTGCCGACCCCAAATGAAATTGTTACTCTGAGTGTTCGGCTCCCTCCACAGTTCGAATGGGAAACGGATTCCCCTGCTGAATCAAGGATTCTGTCACTATTCTGGACGCCGATTACAAGGGTCTAGGACAACAGAATAAATACCTACACTTAAAAACAATAAAAAGGCACTTACATACGTTGAACAAATGCGCCCTCTCTCATGGAGTCTCTATCACCAATCATGGAGCCCATCGAAAGATGAGAACTCTGCAGGATATCAGAAGTCGCTTATCCTCATTGAAATCCATCCGGCTCTGTCAGCACATGATCATCCCGCTGTGTACCTCCACGAAGTTGCTTCCCGCTCGGTCATTCGGTGATTTCCACTCACATGGACGCAGTGAATCGGCGAAAAATCTTGGACAGTCGAAAAATAAAGCAACTGACTCAGCTCAATCAGGAATTCAGTCACGACTTTCAATAATGATCCGTTTAGAATTGAATAGTCCAGCTTCGGAAATGTTCTAGACCACGGGCCCTCCTGGTGGATTCTATCCCTTGAATAATCTCCAGCTGATTTCTTCGGTGGCCGATCCGGGTTGGAATTCTTTGTACGGGAGGAGAATGATGAAAATCGACGCTCCCCTTCTAGCGTGCGTAATATGTGAGTTCCCCATGGGTAGATACTATATTCGGTTCGTCCCCCTGCATTTTACCTCGATTCCTGTTCGTTCACTCGCTCGACTATGGAGCGCGTCCTGAGACCTACTCGACCATTGGGGTGACCCAGCCATCTCGGAGGATCAATTCGATCGAGGGAGTGATCACCCGGAAGCCAAAGGGTGTCGGCTTCTGAGCGAAGTCAACCTCGGACTGCTGCAGAGCAATCGATAAAGAAGCGCTCGATACTATGAAATGCTCTTCACAGTTCTCAGCCATCAGTCTCTCTGCCGAAACAGTCGTTCCGGGAGGGAGTCAGCGCTCCGGAAGCAGCTGCCGCCGAGTGACGTATTACGTTCGCGTTCGGGGCTACTACCAGTCTCTACTTTACCAGTCTCCGGTCGGCTCGCTTCATCAGCGGATCGGGACCCACAGACTCGAACGCCATTCGGGGGAAGGGAAGGAAGCAACGAGTTCACTGCAACGAAATGCGAACAGCAGTTCAATCGAGAAGCCGCAGCACCGAACAAGCGAGACGCCGATCTAGATCCGTCGATACGACGCAATTTGGGTTTTCCGCTGCACCACGACGACGCCGCCGATCAACATGACCCGGAACCCACAGATGCGGTGACGCTCTCAGATTCTCGATTATCTGCGGAAGATGCGAAAGTCTCAGACGCAGATCCGGATTTCGATGCTTCCTTCAACCATCCTTCCGAGCAACCCCCTTTTCTAGAAACAAATCCGGACCCCAGGATTCTGCCCCCGGAAAGCTCCCCTTTCCTCGATACATTTGATCATTCAGAAGAACCCGCTACCGAACGCTCTCCAGCGAACGAGTCCCCTCCCGCGCGGTCGAGTGTCA